GATTCCATTCAATTCTGTTCAATGATTCCATTAGATTCCATTTGATGATGATTCCATTCGATTCCATTTGATGATGATTCCATGCGATTCCATTAGATGATGACCCCTTTCATTTCCATTCAATGAGGATTCCATTCGGTTCCATTTGATGATGATTCCTTTGAATTCCATTTGATGACAATTCCATTCAATACCAATTGATGATGGTTATTTTTGATTCCATTTGATGATGATTACATTCGATTCCATTTGATCATAATTCCATTCGATTCCACTCGATGATTCCATTCGATTCCATTCAATGATGATTCCATTCGAGTTCATTGACTGTTCCATTCCATTCCATTCGATGATTCCATTCGAGTCCATTCGATGATTCTATTCGATTGCATTCGATAATTCCATTCGATTGCATTCGATAATTCCATTCGATTCCATTTGAGGATAATTCCATTTGAGTCCATTCGATGATTGTTCCATTCGATTCATTCGATGTTGATTCCATTAGCTTCCGTTGGATGATGATTCCATTCGGGTCCATTCGATGATGATCACACTGGATTTCATTCCATAATTCTATTCGATTCCATTCGATGATGATTCCATTCATTTCCATCCGATGATGATTCCATTCGATTCCGTTCAATGATTATTCCATTCGAGTCCATTCGATGATTCCATTCGATTCCATTCGATGATGATTGCATTCGAGTCCATGGATTATTCCATTCCATTCCATTAGATGATTCCATTCGGGTCCATTCGATGATTCTCTTCGATTCCATTCGATAATTCCGTTTTTTTCCGTTTGATGTTGATTCCATTCGATTCCATTCGATGATAATTCCATTCGATTCTATGCGATGATTCCATTCCATTCCATTTGAAGATGATTCCATTCGAGACCATTCGATGATTGCATTCAATTCATTCGATGACGATTCCATTCAATTCCGTTCAATGATTCCATTTGATTCCATTTGATGTTGATTCCATTCGATTCCATTTTATGATGATTCCATGCAATTCCATTAGATGATGACTCCTTTCATTTCCATTCGATGATGATTCCATTCGTTTC